ACCATATGAAAGTCACTGTGTCAGATCCCACCCACTCACTTCTGCTCAGCACATGCCAGACCCTAAAAATAAGCCAGTATAGGTACCTTAATGTAGCCCTAAACACATGCCAATAAGTATAGCTGAGACAGACAGTCCAAGAGTAGTGCTTGGGCTTGTGGTCAGGGCTGCTCCAAGCCAAATACATTGACTCATTTCCTGTATTTGGCAAGCACTGAGTGGGAGCAAGTGGGCAGGAGATGTTTCTTGGCAGTGGTCCCAGGTACTACACAGAGGCAGTGTAGACCAGACCAGGGTTTCCCAGTTGCAGAATGGTGATAACAGTACTTCATTGGAACAGCAGACTGTTCCAAGTAGTGCAGACTGGAAACTGCACTACTTTTGTAAACTGGAAACTGCACCACTTTTGAAAAGTGTTTTCAATTTCCAAAAAATAAAATTGAGTTTACAAATAAGACTTTTTCTGTGGCAGTGCCAGAGGACACTTATATACATGACAAGTGTCTGCTCTGACATGTGCTAATTAGCACGCATTGCAGCAGACTCAGTCAGGTCTGTTGCAAGTCTGCTGAAGTGTGCTAATTAGCATGCTCCAGCAACCTCCACGTCATGTGTATTCAGCATCCCGCTTTTCAAAATGGTCAGGATGGGGGGAGGCATTTTAATTAAAGCTTGTTCAACGAACTTTAGTTAAAGTTCCCCCACCACCATATGAAAATGCAGGATGCTGAACACATGTGATGCTGTGGGCACTTTAATTAGAGTGGCTCTCAGAGGGGACTCTCTCTGAGAGCCACTCTAATTAAAGTGCCCTCTTCTCCACCCCAGAGCATGTGTATAGTGGTTGCAAGAGACCTTAATAATCCAGAGAGGAGCAGTTTTATATAAACAAGCCTGTGGGCACAAAATAACCTTCCTGAGATTTGAAAAAATTTGTTTAATCTCTCTCCAAACTGTAAAACTGCTCCAATAAAAGGCATGACCAAACGCATCTTGCTTCTTCCATATTTTGGGGATCAGCTGCTCTCTAACAACATTATGGGTACAGACAAAAATGTAGGTCCCAGCTGTAATTCAGAATGATTTCTGCAGAGCATTCTGAGTTACAACCTTACCCCAGACCAAACAGAAGTTCACTGTTGGTTCCAGGGGGGAGGGGAATCTAACCGTCAGCTAGGAGTCTGCATCCAGGTTCCCATAGCAATGGCCAGGGCTCTTTGCCAGTACTGCTGTTTTCAGAATGGGAGGGGGAAAGGCAGTGGAGGGAGCTCATTTTTGGGGCTCCCTAGCCAGTGCTGAAGGATGAGGTGGGTGAATTGGAGCCTTCCCACCTCAGGGAAGCTCCAGTATACCCACCCCACCCTCCAGGGGGAGCTGAAAAACCCCCAAACTAAACTCCCTGAACACCAACAGGCTGGGAGCTCTGCGAAAGTTGCAGAAGATGCTACATTTTGAAATGTCTTTATCTGATACCTCATGCAATAAAGGGTCAGATTTTCATCTGATCAGCCATTTTAAAGCTGTTTGCAGCTGTGCACGTGTGTTTGCTTACAGCTATCTATTGCTTTCTGTGGCCAGATCAGGCAAGATTGTCACTGCTGTCTGCACCCTGCACAACAACCTACTTTCTAGGATTCAGCTAGGATTCAGAATCCCAGCTGAGAGTCTTAAGAACTGAACTTTTCAGCCACTCTGGAGTAGGTCTCTTGCAGCAGAAATTCAGTAAGAATTCAGAAAATTTTCACAAAGTTTTATTGAGCATATGTATCACTGAAAAGTTTTGTTTACAAAGACCTAGTATTTTTCACTGAAAACATTTCACTTACAATTCCATACCACCTCTAGGTGTAAAAATAAATCATTAAAATATTGTGAGTCTTCGAGATACTATTGAAATGGAAAGCTTATAAAGGAGTCTGAGAATCTATCTATCTATCTTAAAACAGTTCCTTTTCAAGGCAGAAATTATTTATGGTAACAAAGTGCTTTGCAAAATTTCCATATTCTAGTTTACTTGTGAATCTAACAAGCTATTAGACTACCTGTGAAATTTTCCTGGTATAATGTCCTGACCACTGCTACAAAGACAACACTCAACATCTCCCTCATCTGAATTCTCCAAGGCTCTAAGGATGACCAAATGGATTTCTCCCTTGACTTATTTCCCTGGGGCAAGTCTAGGGTTCATTAATTTTTACAATCTTCTGTACACCTCCTATTATTTCCTTGGTAACATGCCAAAATATGAAGGAAATTACTTAAAGATATTATTATGTGCATTAGATAATTAAATATTGTTGGCCAAATCTACCTTTCAAGTGAGTATTCCAATAGGAAGCAGCTATTATTGGCCAGAACTCTTAGATACAGACATTCAAAAAGCCTGAGGCATATTGACCTAAGTTACGTGGTTTTCTGTACACAGTGTAGTTTAGATCAGTAGTGAACAGAACACAGTCACCCTTTTGTGGTAGGGCGGTGGGGAATCTTAAGGTGCAGATACAAGTGGTAATTTTTGCCTGATCTGGCCACAGAAAGCAGTTTATAGCTGGGACCAAAAACAGGTGCACAGCTGCAAACAGCTTAAAAAATGGCCAATCAGGTGAAAATCTGACCCCTTGTTACATGAAGTATCAGATAAAGACATTTCAAAATGGAGCCTTCTGTAACTTGCATCTGTGGAACTCCCAGCCTGTTGCTATTTTCAGACTGGGACAGGGGAAAGGGAATGGAGGGAGTTCAGTTTAGGATTTTTTCAGTTCCCCCTGGAGGGTGGGGAAAGTGTATTGGAGCCCCTCCAAAGGGGAAGGGCTCCAATCCTGCCACCCCACCCTTCAGCACTGGCTGGAGAGCCCCAAGAATGAGCTCCCTCTGCTGCCTTTCCCCTCTCCTATACTGAAAACAGCAAGTGCTGGCAGACAGCCTGGCCATTGCAATGGGAACCTGGCTGTAGACTCCCAGCCCACAGCTAGATTCCCCTCCAGCCTGGAACCAACAGTGCACTTCTGTTTGGTCTGGGTAAGGTTGTAATTCAGAACACTTTGCAGAAATCGTTCTGAATTATACCTGGGACCTGCACTTCTGTCTGCACCCTTAAATGGGTTCTGCCATTTTTAAACCAGTCTGTGTGCACCAAACTTCTGTTCTGTTATGGGCATAGACTGGTTTCCGATCATTCATACTGGTAAAAGTGTAAAGTCTATACCTGGCCTTAAAGAATACACCTTCTCCACATTTTTGGGAATATCCACTTGCGCAAATAAACCCAGCATCTATGAAAATAAATGATTGCTTCCCAGGGCAAAGGCCCATTTTGCATGTGCAAGGGCAAACAAACAGCTGCAAAATTTGAATGTGTAGTTTTAGAAGGTGAAACTCCCCATAAGTCTGTGCACATTTTCTTTTCAACATTTTTCAGTATTTTGCCAGTTCTACAGTAGCCTTTTCCTGGCTTTCCAATGTTATTTTATGCTACAAACCAGTAGCAATTCTACCTCAATTGAAAAACTAGATCCTTTCCATCCTATTCCTCTTTTGTTGAAAAGTCAAAAGCAAAATAACTTAACAAATGCTATTTCTTTCATGCCTGTCTTCAATTCTCTACTATGAATTTTTAGAGAACCAATTTTCTCTTTTATCTTCTGTAAAGATGAAAATATGTATTCAAATAACATGAAGTTATATAGTGGAGGAATTGAAATTCTAATAGATTTAAAATTTTATTTATAAAAATTGCATTTGGGCTGACAACTTGTGTATGAAATGTAGACCAGTACAATTTAGAGGGTGAGTTACGTATAACCCTTTGAACACTGAGAGTTATAACAGAATTGCTGACAGAACTGTCACCATTATGTAGTAGCATCGCCTCTATAGGAATTAATTTTGGATAGTTTATTTTATCTACGGTATTTCTAATGCAGACTTGTTCCTTTTCTTGCACTGAATACACAGATTAAAGGATAGCACTGAACTGATGTAAAAGCCTCTCTGTGCTTGCTTTCTTTTTTCCCCCTCTTCTTTCCTCACAATAACTTTCAGATGTCTACTGGAGAGAGGGTACATGGAGTATAGCCGTTAACAAGTATGCCCCCACTTTACATTCAGCAACAGTGAACGTGGAATAATGCTTAAGAATCTATATATTCTGGATTAATAACCACCACTGTAGACCCAGAAACATCATGCTATTAAACTATACTCTGACACTGTTCTGTAATTTTCTTGTCATAATAGAAAAAAAAGAGGAACTGGGTGGAGGAAATATGTATTGGGTGGGATGTGGTTTACTGTACTTTTATGTACCTTCCTTACTAATCTGAGTGTCCTAGCTCCTAGTCCATGCAGACGTCATGTCTGCCACTCTTTGCATACCATCCTGCTTCTACCTAAGAGAAACTGACCCTGAAACCTTTTCCCTTTCTTCTTCCCTGTCTTCCACATTACCACCAGCAGTGAAGGCTTATTCCTTCACCCTGTATTCACCCCACCTGACACTCTTGATTACCTCTTGCTTCCTAGGGCATTTTTACACGTGCTCCAGGATGTGTGTGTGTGTGGGGGGGGGACTTTAATTAGCGATCCATGCTCATTAAAAGCACCCAAGCATCATGTGTATCAGCATTTCCAAGCTGGAAAATGGCGGACGGGTGCTTTGCACTAAAGCTTATTTGATGAGCTCCCGACTGCCATTTTGTGTGCAGGGATGCTTATACACATGACGTTAGAGTCTGCTCTGACATGCTGGATTTCCAGTGCATTAGAGCAGGCTCTCTGCATGCATATGGGAGCCCCTGGATACTGCTCCACTGACCACTTCCCACCTCCCAACCAAAAGGCTCTAACACCGATTACAATTAAGGGCAATATTTCCACTGATGTCGCCATGTATTAGATCCAACCTGCTGCAGAAATACATCATCAGGACCCCTACAATCCCCCCAGCCAGAATTTGACTTAGTGAAAAAGATTTGGTCCTCCCTGAATCACATCTGGACACTTCATGGAAAATGTGGACACCTACTCCATAAATGGAGCATCAAAGAGAGTCCGGGTTGAGATTGTGGCATGATTTTTCAGACGGTGAATGATTGCCCAATTAGATCATTTAATGATGACCTAAAAATCAATCAAGTTACCTCTGAGGCAGTCAAATGGTTATCAAATTTAGATATTAATCTATGAATGCTGTTATCCTAAAATGTCATACGAAAGAAGACAACAACCCTGAATGAATCTACTTATCCATCTGAACTCCTTTCAGCAGTTATCTGTAGCCTCCTTACTTTACCACCATCTGCTTCCCTTGAATGGGTTATTATAGTTCAGAGAGGTTCACATTAAAGCAGAAAACAAGAGAGGGACAAAGTAGCAGTCATCAGTTTTCAGAAATAGGCAAGTGGCTGGTGACATTATATTCTGGAAAATGTTCTATAAAAAAATATTTAATACAAAAAGACAGTATTGGGTGGGATGTGGGTTCTTCATTATAATCACCTTGACTGAGACCGCAGGCACTGAATACCTCACTATGATTTTTTCCTGCCAAAAGTCTGCTTGCCATATAGGAGTTTGATCTCCTTTTACATACCGATTTCCCTTATTCTCACCATCTTAAATGTATTTATCCTTCCCATTTCCTCTGAATGGAAGAAAATACTATTTAATTTTACAAATGACTAACTAAAGCAAGAAAGAACATGGGCATGCCACACATCAGAGCTGCAACATGCTGTGTCTGGCATCCTCTCCAGCATGCCCTGACTGCCTGATGCTTCACATACTGTCCAAACCCAGAAACACAACAATGAAGATGGTCTGGGGTCATTTTTCTGTAGCATGTCTGAATCCTCAGTCTCCGGTGTCAATAAGATCAGGTTCTGGGGAAACGCCAAAGCTGGCTTACTGGCACGTTACTGGGCTTTGAGCATATCAGTGTAAGTGATTGGGCAGATATGTTCAGCACTGTCTCAGGTTGTTGTGGCGTAGTTATGCCCTAGGGGACCCTAAGTACTAACTACTACCCTAACTACTACAGTGTCACTTGCCTTTTGGGCTTGGGCTTGTAGATTAAAGCACTCCCGCCATATAAATGTTTGTTCTCTCCTTTGCATACTGACCCCCCCCATCTATGTGAAATCTTGCTACCCCTACCAACTTCCATCAGGGTGCTGCATGGTGAATGTGGTTCATATTTTCAAATCAATATGAAGAGAGAGGCTTACTCAACCTTGCCATGCTAGCATAGAGCATTGTTTCCAATGTCAGAATCATTTGTCTTTTATTTATATTGCCAGTCAAAATGTTTACTGGGAGCGGGGGGCAAGGGAAAAAGTATTTTACCAATGATACAGTAAAATAGCTGTTTATATTTTATAGCTGACGAATATTTGCCCCTGGAGGTTATATGACAGTTGGATGAGTTTTCTTTTAGGGAAAAATAAAATCAAACAAGTGTCAATGCTGCAAAGGAAAATATAGCCCCCACTGTGAATTATATTCACCTTTTTATACCCAGGAGAAAACATTTCATTTTTTCAATTAATCTGACCTTCATCAAGAACTAGCACCGAGAAACTCTCCTCACAATGCAAAATACTGCAAAGTAGGAAGTATTATGGATTGGTACATAGTGTTCAGTCCTAACTGGGCTTAAAAATGTAGCATTGCATATCACCGTTGTTTGGTCACACATAGCATCGCTTATTACTTCTGCTTGACTGAACATACTGACAGATTACTGGCACCTTCCTAATCATTTTAAATGCAAAATATTGTGTAAATAGGAGTATTTCTGTTTACCTTTTCAGCTGTTCTCTAGTACCAGGTGAATTGAATGTGGACTGTGGACTGAAAATTCTGCTTTTCCTGGAGTCAAAAGCAGTACTTCCCAATTCTTCAGCTGATCAGGTGTTTGATGTTTTTATAGCCCCCATCTACTCATGGCTATCTTTACATTTGAACAATACTATCCTGTTGCCCTAATGCCTTTCTGTCATTTTACTAGATTCAAATGGGAATCATCAGACTATCATGCTTTTCAACCTACTTGGGAAAAAATACAATTTTCATAGCCGTCTTATAAAATGCAGACAAAGCTGGCACTATAACACTATCATTGAAATGTTTAATACAAAGAGAACATGTTAGGCGAAGCCAGAATAAAAGACTTAGGTTTTAAAAAATGTTTAAAAATGGCTTCCAGTTATCATAAGAAACAGTAAAGTATAATTCCTCAAAGCAATCCTCTAGCACTTGCACAAGTCTGTTAAACCCATATATATCTTGTGTTGAATAGACTCTGCAATGGCTTATACAAACTCCATACTGCACTGGGACAGCAAACAGTTAATGGCTTGACCTTTGGAGGTGAAATTATATCATTCTACCCAAAACTATTAAGCTTACAAAGAGATCTCCAAGGTGTTAGCCTCAACAGGAAAAAAGGACATTTTAACACATGATGGATAACATATTAAAGGCTACTGCAGCTCTAACAGAAGTCAGCTGGTTGGTAATCGCTTTATGGTTCACCTCAACCAACTAACCACAGGTGAAACCCACAACGCTTTTGTCTACGTTCAGATTTCAGCACGTATTAACAAGTCAAAACTGCAATTCTGTCCTTCATGTGGACATGGCCTAATAATAGTTATTAGTAATGAGGGAAAAGGGGAACAAACAAGTCTCAGAACCGAATCCTCTGGCCAAAAGCACATACAGCCTCAAGTGGTTGGACAGAGCTGGGTTCACGGGATAGAGACTAGAGCCCAGCCCACCACTGATTTAGACAAGAAGCAGCCGCCTGAACCACCCCCTGGGTTGGGAAGAGCGGGTCCAGGTCTCACCGAGATAAGGAACAGTCAGAAAATAAACTTTCTGAGTGTTTTGGTTTCTTCTGAGAAAGGAAGGATCTATTTCTGAGGAATAAGAAGGCTTAGAGAAAGATGACAGGAAGTTATCCCCTATGGCACCGATCACAACCTGTACTCAGTATAAGAAAATTGAATATTTTTTTCTGATTGATTTGTATAAAGAGGTTTTCCTGTTACCACCCACCCCAGCACGCACACCTCCATGATCTCCCTCCTTGATTCTACTAATGAGACCTAGAGAAGCTCCTGGGTGTCTCCCCTATAGTTTGTGCCCATCATATATGACTGACTATTAATCTGAGTTCTAACATAAAAAGTAAAGATTGAAAACATTTTTTTCCCAAATGTAGCCATGACGCCGAAGACATTCAGAGCTGAGCTTTCTCATTCATTTTTACTGCATCCCGTACATGTAGGAGGGGATGCTTAAAAGCAGACATATGCTGAAATGAGGCATCTGCATTCTTGAAAAAAGCTACCAAGTTACAGGCTGGTGCCATGAGCCACAATGCTCTTTCTGTGATCTGATTAGACTCAGACCTTCCATTTACAGGGAGTTGATGTTGCCCAAGGACCTTCAGGATCAAACCCTGGCCACAAATGCATGAGAATATGTGCAAATGCTGTCACTGCCGTAGTTGCCAAGTCTTTTGGCTGGAAAGTCTAAATTGACTCATAAGTACTGCTATTCCCAGCCAAAAGTAATGGTGTATTGCCTTACATTTTCCTATGTTTCTTGTAGACACTTACATTTGTATCAACACCTAATGGGTAAAGGAAACACATAGACATTTTGAGCTGACTTTTTTTCATTTGTCAAAAACACCTTCTTTTTTTCGCTTTTGTCTCACATTAACACTAACTGGAGTTGGGCAAATAAACTGCAGTGCAATTAAATGAAAGTAGAATTAATGTATTGTGTTTAATTAGTATCTAATCCAAAGATCTGAACATATTTTACTATCTTGGAAATGCAGCAGGTTCTGGGGTGGAATGAAGCGGTTCCCTCAGGTTTACCATAGTATACAACAGTTTACTGACAGAAGAGAGAGAAGACTCAAATTAAATAGATGTGGAAAGGATCAGAGAGATAGGTCATGTTGGAATTAGCCAGAACATAAAGGCTAACATCACTACCCTTATGAATAAAATCAAAGCATTTGTCATAAGATAATTGAAACCGTGCGCTTTACATCGAGTCATGAATCTGAAAGGGAGGACTATACAGATGTCACTGGATTCTGGGAACATCATAATACATCAAAAGACCAGTTCTGGAAATACAAGTGGAATCCAAAGATAAATTTGTAGCATTTTTTCTAGTCTCTTTGTCTCAGAATTTGTGCTGCCATCTATATTTTAAGCCAAATACAAAATACAGATATCACAGATCAAAAAGGGTAAAATTTCGGCTCATTCTTATGTTCCCTTCAGTTCACTTTGATACCTCCTACCCCTTCGGTGACTGCTTCTTGTCTGTCTCACCTCTATGCTGTTTCATTTATTCTCACTTCCCCCATCCTCCTAGTTCCCTGTTGTTGTTGGGGCTTTTTTCTTTCTTTCTTTTCAGCTCCACCTCTTCTCCTTCCCAGCTCCCTCTCGTTCTGATCTCTTATTTTCAAAAACTCTAGACAAGGTGATGTTAAAAAAAAAAAATCAAAAGCTCTTGTTACAGCCGTCATTGTCTATAGCACCTCACCAGCCATTTTTAGATTCAGGACAAATCTAAGCAGATGTTTTTCCTCTCTTAATGTGGTTTGTTTAATCTGAATCCAGTCCAAGTTAAAAGCACTGCTGCTGTACGTTAGGAGCATGGAATGCTGCAGCTGCATTGGTGACGGAGATTCGGATAATGCAATATGTGACAAAAATTAAGTGATTTAACCAGCTTCGCGATATATCAGGCTCATCAGTCACTTTCTGCTGTATGTTATGATGCAACTAAATTGACTCAGAGTCAGAATTAAAAAGACTGTCTCAGTTCAGATTCAGGCTAACAGTCAGGGTAATAATTGATTCAAATGTGGTTTCACACCATCCTCACCATTGGCCTTGATTCATCCACATGCTCCAGTATCATAATATTGAACTTTGTGTCACTTCATCAATTCATTTCTAATCAAGATGGATTGATGGATATGCATATATAAATGATGGTAAACATGAAAGACTGCAGACAAGTTAGACATACTGCTGTGTGCCTGGAAGGTGAGAGTCGCTTCATACATATTTGGGATGTGGCGTGTGCCAATTAATAGAATTTAGCCATTTTCACTGATAATTACCCCAAGGCATGTGTATACAGCCATGGCAATTGTATATCCAACTTGCTTGAAAAACCTGGCTTAGCTGACACTTTTCCTAAAAGCACATCCCCTTCAAAGCACACCCGAGTATAAAGTTTTAAAGATCCTTATTTGAATAGGTTTTAAAGATTTTTTAAGTGGTTGCCTCCAGGGATGCGTAAACAATCCTGTTCATTTTAACTGATTAGCATTCCAGAAGTATTAAGTTCATTGGCCGCACTAAATCACTATGATCAAGCTAAAGGACACATACTTTGAGCACCCCAGTATTGGAGCTTGGGGTGGAATCGGGGCTAAAGGGATCTTAAAAAAAACCCCAAACCACCCAGCCAAACACAGCAAAAAACTCCTACCCTTGGGTATCCTGAGCCTTTTCCAGATCTTGTATGCTGTAAAATAATTTAAGAAACATAAGTGCTTGAAAAAAAACACCACCCAAATGGGATTTTGAGATGGGGTTGCAAGGAAATGGTTGCTTTTTAAACCTATATTATGTAAGGTGAGGAGTTTGTCTCTTTTTCTGAGAGAAGGTTGCTTTTTTTCACCTCCTAAGAAAACGTATGTGCTAAAGATCATCTACAGTTGTACAGCTGGTATTATATACTGCAGTACTTTGTGTACTGTCAGTTCACTATGACAACTGATATCCTAGATGAGGATGAAAACTGCGTGTCTTCACTGACATTGTCAAGACAGCGAGGACAAGAGTTGGAGCAGACTTCTGCTCCTCTTTGAGACTGATAAGATTAGGACTGTTATGATTTTATTTAGATAGAAAATATTGTTCCACTGTGCTCCACTGTATCCATTATAGAGCTGTCTTTGTGAGAGAAAACACTGTTATACAGCGGGAGCTATTTTCACAAGATACACCGTGGAGTCCAGGGACAATCAAATGGCTTTGGGTTAATATTGTAGTACTGCTAGCCTATAATAATAATGAAATAATGAAATAAAAAGACTTTTCATTAAAATAAGTATTTTTCTACCTATTATAATCTTTGAGAAGTTGGAGGAGTTGTGTACATATATTTAAAATATGCCGCAATTTAGCAAAATCCCAGCAACTTCATGGTACATGGTATGCGGGCCTTTACCTAACTTTTGGTCGGCGTTCCACCAGCGCTGTCCATACATCTTTACAATGGAATAGGGGGAGGAATAAAAGGATTTGTGTTGAGCTTAATTGCTCACCCCATTTCTCTCATTTTGACCTAAACAGAGGAACACAGGGTTAGAATGGGAAGGACTCGTATTATATAACTCCCCTTTCATCCTAATTTATTCCTTCATGAAAGGACTTGTTTTATATGACTATAAAGTGCTACAGATATCTGCATTACTGCACAAAGGCACATACCCACATGCATCGAAAATGATAGCTTCTCTTCAGGACAAAAAGAAAGACATAAATAATAATACTGGCAGGCTGGTCTCCACCAGTCAGAAATACTTTTGACCCAAGTCACGTACTTGTAGATTATTTCAGGTCGCTTCTTTCCTCGGTTTTCACGGCCAATGGGAGGTGGGGGGGGAAACAAACAAACACACAAAAGAACAAAAAAAAGAAGTCTCACTCGCACACCAAGCAGAACAAGAATTCCTAGAGAGAAAATGAAAAGCCATGTTTATAGTCTCCATTGTGGGCTCCCCTTGTGGAGGTTCTTCAGTTACAAGTGAACTTGCATTAGAAGTCGTGCAGTCGCCTATGAAACAGCTGTTGTGCTTCTGTCCGGTACGATAGGGGTTGCTCTCAGCTAAGCAACATTTGAAGAACAGCACAATGTCTCACTTCTGGCAGCCAACCTGAGAAAATAACTCATTGTACTGAACAATACCAAAGGCTGCCTGGAGCTTCCTTTTGCACTTAATGAAGTGATAAATAAATCAGAAGTGCTGTTGCAGAGATCAGAACTACCAAATAACACGGTATGTATAACACGCTGGCTAAGTGTCATATCACCCCTCTAGAAGCTAGTGAATAAAGAAGATAAAAGTTTACTACTACGATCAACTCTAGGAGTTATTAGCTCAAGTAGCTGGGAGTTGCACTTTTGTTCAGGCACATTCTCAGCTCTGTTCACTAATGACGGTCTGTGGCAGGGCTTATTATGTATTCAAGGAACTTCACACCACAGGAGGGAGTATTCCAACCCTAATAGCCACAACTCTCGAATATTACTGTGTTAGCATCATCTCTATATACAGTAACCTGCCTGGATATTTTGGTATTAGCTTTGAGTGGCCAAGTAGCACTTAAAAAACCCCAAACTACTCCATATCCATATCAATAGATTATTCACTTGATGAATTGTCTGGAGTTGTTAGGAAAGTATATGTAATGTCAGTGGAGCTGAGAAACTGCCATTAGTGAAAAACCTGGAAAATAATACTGTTTTCTTTACCTGAATTTTTTCAGTGTTTAGTGTGCATGCAGAATGCATCTTCAGTGCCATGCTATGGTCTATAGATTTGATGTATAATTATACAGCTGTGACTATGAAATGATGTATGAAATAAAACTCCTTGAACAACGCCCAGGGAATACAGACTGAAGAAGCTACCAAGTGTGCGGGTAGCTGCTGTCTGTTGCTCCCAAATGTGGAAGCAGCCTGGGGATTGTAGCCAATCCTGAACATGAAGTATGTCAAAAACCTTTCAGAATATAAACCTGCTACCTCTAATGAGCATTATGCATCATAAGCAATTCATTTGGGGGATCTTTATTCAACCTGGGAAAGCAGGATGCCAGGCAGCTATACTAATCCCTGCTAGCTACCCCAACCCAACATGCACCTGTAGATCTCAATCTCCCATGTCCTGAACCTTGCATAATCATTTACACAAGTTCCTAGTGAACAAAAAATGCTACTGGCTTAAAAAAGTGGTATTTTATACACCCTCTCCCTGAGTGCAAATAACTAAATAATGAATAAAAAACCTACGTGGCAACAAAGACTCTTCCACCACATCTATTGCTATGTTAGTGCATATATTAAAAGCTACTCCAATGCTAAATTTTTTCTTTTTAACTGAAAAATGGACACTGAGGCAGAAGTCCTCTGCGTCACCATTCAGCAACCCTGTTCCCATTAGTAACCGTGAAACTAATATAGATGGAATAAAATATATTACGGGTATTATTCAACAAGTTTTGCACGTAATCTGGAAGAAACCCTGAGAGGCCTTATGCACACTCTTTGTGGCTTTTCACAATACTAAATTCATTCCTCAACATTGCCCACAGAAAGTTGAGTCAGAAGAATTTAGGGAGCATTGTGAAAAGTATGTTTAAGTTATTGTGATTATTCTTCTCTCCCATGGTTTTATACAAGTATAACGGCAAATTTCCTATACCTTACAAAGGGCTAGCCTTAGGGTATGTACCCACCACTAGGTTATGAAACCTCCTTTTGTTTCTCTATGTATGTATTTCCTCTGGGAAAAGTTCATTTTTTTGAATTTTTAATAAACTAATCCTTCTCCTCTCTTCAACACACAAGATTTCTTAAGTTTTCCCAGAGCTGTAGATACCATTTCTCAACTCTTGCAATAAAGGAATGAGAGTTATATTAAGTATGCACTATAAATAAGCACCTTCTAATAAGGGTAGACTATAATTGTTCTATCGACATTGTTTTGATAGATGTGACTATAAAGTATAAACAAATCTAAAAAATTATTAGGCATGATTACCCCACTGACAAGAAATTAATTCTTTCTAAATGGGGTGTTCTAGTTTGAAGGGCATGAGTAGATATGCAGTGCTGCCACACGGTCTTTATAGTGCATTGATTAAAAGGAGATTGGGTGTTCTGTAATGATAAAAATATCGAGCATAGTTAGCAACTGCTTCTGAAAAAATGATTTATAATGAATTATGTAAAAATAACCTACAGGGAATAGAGATGAATGTACATGTGACAGGGGTTTAGTCTTCTATGCCCCCTAAATTGAAACAGTAGGCTTGTAATTGAAACCCACCATTTCAACTTAAGGTTTTATTTTTCTGTGACATTACAGTGAGGGGCCTGATCCATTTTATTTTTATTTTTTGGGAAGCCTGCTCACAGCTGGGAGGGGGGGTGCCCCCCAGGGAAGAGTTAAATTGGGGCAGCCAACTTTTGTGACCCCAGGGGGGGAGGGGCATTGCTGCTACTTGGCCAACCAACAGCTCACCCCCTGGCTGTGGGCAGACTCCTCTGGGAAAAAAAAGGATTGGGCCCCTCACCGCTTCTGCCCTCAGCAAGCGCCTGCTGAAAACAGAAGAGGTGAGGGGCCCGATCCTTTTTTTTCTGGGGAGCCTGCCCACCTCTCCCATGACAACGGGGATGAGCTGACGGATAGCTGCAATGTAGTTTAGTTTGCAATGTAGTTTAGGGGTGTGGTTTAGTTTGCAATGATGCAAATTCATCTAAACCCCCCAACACATGCATAATGTGTGATGCCATTAGGCCACATAAAATGACATCTCCATCACGTGTACATCATGACATCATCCCATGTACAAACTCCCTAGATTGTGTACAGTAAAAGACTATCCGGGGAGATCTGATATGGATATGGCCTAACACTATCCACCACAGTCTTCCACAAGATTTTTGCTGGGAGAGGACAACTTTCATCTCTGTGGCCTTTCCAACAGGACTATCTACTGAATGTGTTGAACAAACTCAAACCCTACAGAAATTCATGAAAAGCCATTCATAGCATCTGATGAAGCAGGCTGCCCCCTGTGAAAGTTTATGCCTCTCTGAACCAGTCAGTCTTTAAGGTGGCACCCTGCCCTTCTGTCTAACTTCAGACTAATACAGCTGACTATCTCTCTCTACACAAACACAGGGAATACTGGAAGTGAGAGCACAGACTGTGTCCTTTCTACTAAGGAAGCAACCAGGAGGGCTGAATTAAAATCTGGACAGAAATTTTAAAACCGCTTGTGGTTCCCACTCTAACAATGGGAACTTAATATATCCACCCACAATTTTTTTTCCATTATTGGTTTCTCTGGATGCCCACCAGTCTCATCTAAGATGTATCCAAGGTAGTTACCTAGACATAGTGTTAATGTGGATGTGTAATGGAATTGGTGTATATATTCCTCTTAGTGCTGGCCTACGCTGTACAGGATCACTGCAGAAAAGATCTGGCTGATCAACTCCACATCTTGCTATCACAAGGTGAGGTTCAGGACAGAGCTCTAGGAACATTGTACATCCTAAATTTTTTAATCTTACTAGTCAGAACTGGTCCACCCCACCACTTAGGGCCTTGTTACACAATAATTTTAGGTGGGTGCTGGAGCTCTTAGCCCCTGGATTGTCCACACATTAACACCTGAAATTAGTTTTAAGCACACTTTAGGCAGCTTAAAGTTATACCACTCTAGGGCAAGTTTATCTCTGATCCATGTTACCCAGTTCATGTTCCAATAATATGTGTCCACACCCCACAAATGAGCCACCCAAGTTTTTTTTTTTTTTAACTTCTTTTTAGTTTATCCTTCAGTGGTTGACTTCCCTCATTTCACTGCCCTCCCCCAATCCCCATTTTCTTTCCACCTCTCCTTTCATTATGCACCCCATCCCATTAACTCTCTATCTCCCAGCTTTATGTTCTTGCCCGCCCCCTCCCAACCCATCTCTCACACAACCTACCTAGGGCAGGGAAAGAAGCCTGTCCTGGCTCATCAGCCTGTTGTAACAACTCACAGCTGTAGCTCCTAGTCAGGCCCCTGCTCTTCTATGCTGGGCA